CGAGCGTATTTAGGGGACTCGTCGCAACCCTCCAGGCTTCGGCCTCCAGCTGGCAAGGCTTGATGGCCTGTCGTTTCTTCCTGGGCATGGCAGAGGCTGGCTCTGCATTGGGAATCGTCTACTACCTCTCATTCTTCTACAACCGCAGCGAGCTGGGCTTCCGCATCGGTATCCAGTTCTGCTGTAGTCCCCTAGCCACCTGTTTCGCAGGTGTTCTCGCATACGGAATCACTTCTGGCCATGCCGCTTTTGCGAGCTGGAAGGTCCTGTTCGTGGCCGAGGGTCTACCCAGTGTCGCCGCCGGCTTGGTCACCTGGTTCTTCCTCCCAGACACCCCCGAGAGTCTCAAGGTGCTCACGGAAGAGGAGAGAGCTGTGGCAAAGGCAAGGAGCCTGCGACAGGTTGGCATGGAGTCAGAGCAGAGAATCGGCCATCTTAGGTGGAAAGATATCGGAGAGGGACTCTTTGATTACAAGAACTACTTGACGGCGGTATGTGCCTTGTCTCGCCTTGCCCTTCCCATGACTCGTTTACAGGCAGCAGAAGTTCCCCTTCAGCACAATGCTGGTCTGAGAACGTCATACTGACTTTGCCATTTGGATACTCTATTAGCTGATGTACTTCTCCACCAACCTGTCCTTCACCTCCCTGCCGGTGTTTTTGCCCACCATCTTGGTCGAGATCGGCTTCAGCGGCATCCACGCACAGGGCCTCACCGCGCCGCCGTATCTCCTCGCCTTCTTCACCACCCTCGCCTCGACCTACATCACAGACAGGACCCGGCAGCGCGGCGTGACCATCATGACCCTGGCGACGATCGGAACAGTCGGCTACATCCTCCTCGCCGCCACGAAGCCGACGGCCGTGAGATACTTTGGAGTGTTTTTGGCTGCGGGAGCCATCTTCCCCACAATGGCGAATATCCTGCCGTGGGTTCTGAGTAAGTTCATCATAATCATCATCATGCCTCCCTGATCCCCAAACCCCTTTCTCGATGAATGTATATACGCTCCGAGCGGAGAAGACTTACCAACTCGTGCTCTAGATAACCAAGGCTCCGACACCAAGCGCGGCATGGGCCTGACGATCCTCAACCTGATCGCGCAGACCGCCTCACTCATCTCGACCCGCCTGTTCCCCGAGGAAGACGGGCCCTACTACCGCAAGGGCATGGCCGTGTGCGCCGCCTTTATGTTCTTCACCGTCCTTCTCGCCCTCACCCTGCGCACCTTGCTGCTGTTTGAGAACCGGAGACTGGACGCCCGATACGGGCGCGTCGTGGCGGCTCCGACCGTCGTGGAGATGTCCAGCGGCGCGTCGCTCGACGAGCCGCAAAAGTGGAATGAAACGGGAGAGGAGAATGAGGGTCCCAGGTTCCGCTATGTGCTGTAGGCAAGAGACGCGCTCTTGTTTCCCAGGCAGACACGTACAGGCATATACGTACAGGAGAGGAGAGAGGGGGGGTTGGGATATTTTACCCAACGGTTCAAGCGACAACTGCTGTTATCGACCTGCAGTATGTTGGCAGCTGAGAAGGCCCTGCCTAGATGATACCAGCGTCCGTGTGATGTTTTCTATACCGATTAAAGATAGCCTGTCTGAGGGTATGAGGCTACTACCTCGCTGAACGAACGAACGAACGACTTAATCCCTTCTCCTTTGACGGACTCTCTTTTCCTTCTGGCACCCGGGGGGGGAGGGGGGATTCATACCTCGTACTATTTATACCAAAGCTACTCGGGCAAAGCAGACTCTATATTCTTGAAAACATACCATTGCCTCTTCACTCGCTCCATACGCCATCACACTTGGTACCTGTAATTGTACGGTACAGAAGTGAGGGAGTGAACAACCTACCTTCCTCATCCGGTCGATCGATCCGTATCAAGTTAGTTGCAGACCAAAGCGTGGAAAATGTGGGGCAAAATGGGGGATCAGTGGATCATTGGACCAGTAGTCGATACTACCACCTCGTACCTATGTACTAATGCACCGAGTACTTTATGTAGCTTCCTTCGGGGGTGCTCCATGCAAAAATTGTTATGCATTGTGTCCTCCTTCGTCTCATCAGAGGTCAGATGATCAAACTGATGGTACTTGTCGTGGGTCGTGGGGATATCGGGGAATAACCATCTTCCGTGGCGAGATACGCGCCTACCCTGAGAGGAGGGTTTCCCAATCAACACTGGCTTCCCAAGGGGCCAGTATTCTTGGAATCCATGTATTTTTTTTTTCTAAGTAAGCTTTCCGTGCCAATCGATTCTACATCTCATATAGTCGTCCCCAAGTGGCTTCTCTCGCAAGGTCATTTGATTGATTGAAGCCCACTGGGAACACCATTTGAACTTGTGGCCCCGGTCTCTAGCTAGAATCAAAAGACCCAGACTACTTGGTTTGCTTGTTTGCTTGTCTACCAGGAGAACTTCTGCTTCACGATCGACTCGCTGAGATTCCACAACTTCTCCGCCCCCTCGGCGCGCTGACACCAAGCCGCAGGCTCCAACAGCTGACAATCCGACAGGTAATAGTTATGTCCTCCGGCATCTGGCTCGGCGAGGTCCGGATCGAGCGCCGCCTCGAGCGTCGTCGAGGCGCCTTGGTCGAGGTTCTTCAGCTCGTAGGCACCCGCGTCGGCGCCGGCTTTCATGTTGTCCTGGACCACCTGCTCCGTGTGCCGCCACAGGTCGGTGAAGATGACGCCCGGGTGGATGGCGTAGGATCGGATGCCGAATTTCTGGAGGAGTCGGCGGTTCAGGCCTAGAGCGTGCAGACAGTTTGCAGACTTGGACTGGCCGTACGCGATGTAGGGGCTATTTAGTCAAGAAAAGTATCGGGTCAGTATTGTAGAGATAGTCCCGACGGATGATCAACCTTCACACAAGCAAAAAGAGGGAAAAGAAAAAAAACCCATACCTATAGACTCCCTCCGTGCTCATTTTCAAGCTCTCCAACATGGGCGCGTTGGCCCGGTCCTCCTCGGGCAGCTCGGTCTGGGTTTTTGTGAAATTGGGGTCCGAGAACCTCACGGGCGAGAAATGGTGGGCCGACGAGGACACGACGACCACGCGGGTGGACCCGCGGGGGGACGTCTTTGCGGACGCGATCAACTTGTCCATGATGAGGTTGGCGAAGAGGAAGTGACCGATGTGGTTGGTGGCAAATTGAATCTCGTTGCCGTCCTCGGAGAGCTCGCGCGTGGGCACCGTCATGACCCCGGCGTTGCAGATGAGCAGGTCGACCTGCTTGACGTCCGGGTTTGCCAGGAGCGCCGCGGCGGCGTCGCGCACGCGGGCGATCGACGACAGATCCAGGTTCAGGAAGGTGAACTTGGTCGCGGGATACTTGGGCGCCAGGACGTCGATCACGTCCTGGACCTTCTTGGCCGATCGACCCGTCAGGATCAAGAGGCGCGGCGTCTGCGAGGCCAGCGCTTCGGCGGTGCTCATGCCCAACCCGTTGAGCGACACGCCCGTGACGATGATGGTCTTGTCCTTGACGGCATCGGGAAAGGCACGGGCGACCTCGAAGGCTCCGGTCCTTGAATTGAATTTCGGTGCTGTCGTCATCTTGATGTTACTCTTTCGAACGGTGTTGTTGCCTTTTATCCTTCTCCCGGTCCTTGACCACCACTTTGTGACAAGCAGTCTTGCTCTGCACTATCGCTTCGAGAGAAAAAGGTCTTTGAAAAACGATACTCTTTCTTCGCAGACTCGTATTTTCTTTCACCAGCCGGCAAATATAGAGCTGTAAATAACAATGATCAAGGTCCACTCTCTATTTGCTGCCCTCTTTGACCAAGTAATCTACCAGATGAGCCTTTTCGGGAGTAGCAGCTATCAATCCAAGGAGATAGTAAATGACACACCATACACACCTCTTCACAAGACACCTTCCGGCCTACATATGCTAGAGGAATACACCATTTCCCCCCCAACCCCTACTACTATGCTCGGAGGAAAGTGTTACGGGCATTCGGGTCTATATCCGAGGTTATGTCCGTCTGGGTCATTTACATCCCTTGAAACGGATGGTAGTCAAGAAGACATATACCCCCTCGTTAGGCGCCACGCGGCGCGCCAATGCCCTTTCCGACGATGGAGTATGCTCTTGGCCAAAACGGGTCGAGAGTCAAAAAGTCCCCAGGAAGAGACCTCGTGGGGCTACGACGATGTAGGTACTTCTCCCGATCACGTAGGGGGCCAATGAGCATCGTAGCGAGCCAACGGAGATTACTCTCGTCGTCACGATGTGTATTTTGGTGTCCGGAAAGCAAGGATGCAGGAGCAGTCAGCAGCAGCAGAGAGGGCCTGCCTCCAACCGACTGCTTTTGCGGAAAGAGTTTTACCTCGCACCAAGTCGATTGGAATCTCTTATTCAAGACACCATCTTTGGGATAGTTCCCTTTTATGGCCCCTTCCTGGACCTAGGCTCGGTTATCATAAGGGCGACTCTACAAAAAAACCTCGGGTTATGGCTTCGCTGGCCAGCGGTCTGATGTTCCGGTTCCTCCGTCCTCGTTCCCCGACTCCGTCCTGATCCTGGCCGCTGGACACTGTCAAACAGAGGTCAAACAAACAGGGCGCAGGCGTCGGATGGGCAGATGGATCAGTGGCTGGCTGAAGTGATTCAGAGAAGGCAGGGGAGTCGTCATTGGCATGGTGGTATAGACAACTCCCGGTGTGCGATCGTTCGAAGGAGCTAGTTAAGAGTGATCTAGGAAAAATCACAAGAATTATGAACGCAGGTCGTTGATGGACGGTGGGAATCGACCAAGATCACAAGAAAATAGAAAAAATGGACGTATCTAAGATTACCAGCCAGAGTGACAAAAGGTCTAGCAGCAAGGCTCTACAGACCGTAGCAGCTATATCATGCCCCTCCCCCCTCTCTGTTCTTAGGCAATCTTCTGGAAACGCAATAGACACCTCAAAGCCCCAAACTATCTGGCTTCAACTTCTGAAAAGGAAGAGACGGCCCCTTGTAAAAACGAACGTAGTCTCTCACTGAAGTAGTTGCAGGTGGTTGATGTCGGAGACGTACTTCTTTACTATATCCAGAGTAATGCCCGGGATCGTCTTTTCGGGACATTCTGGAGCGTTCTGGATAGCCTTGCGGAATTCATCCGTAGATTGGGCTTGGATGCCGTGATTCGGCTTCGCAAAGGATCGAAGAAGAGGGAGGAAAGAGCGCTGCCGCACGCCATTCGGCAGGGCACGATTGCCGGCCGAGAAGCGCGTGAACCAGTCGTCGTAGTCCGGGATGCGTTGGATCTTGATGCCGCTTTGTTCGAGCCCTTCGGTGACGGTGTCGAGGGATCCGCCTCCGGCCTCCTGGTTCCGGGCGTGATAGGTCTGATATCCGCTTTCACGGGCCAGAGCGATGCCGTTGGTGACTTCGGCAAGGTAGTCCACCGGGATCCCGCCGTACACCGCGCGCTGTGGCTGGCCATCCGGGCCAATGGGGTAGAAGGAGGCGGGCGCGATTCCGGTCGAGATCAGACTGATCAAGAGTCGGGTGAACATGTCGGGAACGTTGATTTGTCCGGCATATTTGCGGTCGGCCAAGATCATGTCACTCCTGAAGACGGTGCTCGCCAAGCCAAACGCATCGTGGGCATTTCTCAAGAGCACCTCCCCTCCCCATTTGCTCACTCGGTATCCGTTTGCATGTGACTGGTCGATCGGGACTTCTGGAATGGCAACTCGCACATCGGCATTCTCGTCGAGTTGGTCCTCACGGCCGACCACTGCCAGAGTCGACACATAAACGAAGCGCTTTCGGCGAGTGGTGATGGCCAGCTGAATCAGGTTTGCCGTGCCAATCACGTTGGGGTGGAATAGCTCACTGTATGGGAGCACATGGTTAACCAGGGCGCCCGAGTGGAAGATCAGGTCAACCGAGTCGGCCAAGCGCTGCCAGGTCTCCGAGTCGAGTCCAAGATGGGTCTGACCGAGATCCCCTGCGAGCACTTCAAGGTGATCGCGAGCGAGTTGATTAAAATGTTCCAGCAAGGCTTTATCGCCGGTATCGATTGCAGCCTCAAGCCGCTGTCGGGCATCGGCGTTGTTTTTCCCTCTCACAATGCAGATCACCTTGCCTCCGACGGGGGCAAGATGTTCAAGCCATTTGAGACAGTTGAACCGGCCCAAGAACCCAGTGGATCCGGTCAGCAAGACTATTTTGATGGGTCCAGTCACAAATGGAGTCTGTGCAGCTTTTGCGAGAACCTCAGCGTCAATGAACTTGTCGAGGGTAAAGTCGGTTGCCTTGGCCACTGTGGGATTCTTGCCATGAAGCACCTCAAACAGGGATTTGTCTTTGGCTTGGGCCTTTGCTTGGTCGACGAAGTCGGCGATGTTTCTAAAGCTGTTTGCAGGATTGGCGATGACGCTCAGCGGGATATCGATGTTGAAGAGCGACTGCAGTCTCTTGGAAAAGGTATGCGATGAGATAGAATCGCCACCATTTTCGGAGAACAACGAGTCTGGATCGACGTCTGTCAATGTGTCTCCTAGCACCAATTGTGCCGCCTTGCAAACAATCTCCAGTGTCGGGAGATTGTCCGCAGAACTTTGTAACAACTGCAATTCTTCATGCTGCTTTGCAGCCAAGCTGCTGTAAAGGGCTCGCATCTGATCCCTATACTTGATCTTGAGCTTCGGGTAGAGGTTTTTGAGAAGATTCGACAACAGGCCATTATTGTAGCTGAAGGCCGTGGTTTCGATAATGAAGTCACGAGGGATCTCGTATGGGAGGAGGCCTTCCTCCTTGGCTACATCCTTGATCTTTTGGTGGAGGATCACTTTGAGCTCATCCAAATTGCTGCCGAATTCTTCCAGTGCTTCCTTTGAAGGCACAATGACGCCGACGAGGTAGGCTTGATCACTCTCACCGTAGATGTAGATTTGTCGGATTTCGGGAATCTTGTCGGCAAAGATGTATTCCAATCGTTGGGTCGCCACGAACTCGCCCTGAGAAAGCTTGAGGACATTGTTTGTGCGATCGAGGAAGATCAGCTCGTCGGGTCCAACCTGGGCCAGGATGTCACCACTGATGTAGTAGCCATCTTCGGTGAAGACCTTGCTATTGAGATCTGGGCGCTTGAAGTATCCGGCTACCACACTTTCAGATTTGAGCAGGAACTGGCCACGGGGGTACGGCTTGTCGCTGGTATAGTAGCCCATCTCTGGTACATCCTCCAGCTTCCAGTCAATCACTGGAGGCCGTTGGACTTTTGTCCTGGCGCACACGACCCCCATCTCTGTTCCGCCGTATCCAAATTCGATGAAGGTGCCCAGAACTTCCGCCATGAACGCTGTAATGTTTTCCTTCAACTTGGCCCCCGCGACCAAGGCGCTTTTGATACGTCCTCCCATGACTTTGTCTCGGAGTTCGACTTTGAGGTCCGACTCCAGGGTCTTGGGATCGGCGCCGTTCTTCAACCTTTGGCTGTACTCGTCTAGATACCACTGGTAAATCATCTCCCCCACGCGAGGAACAATGGTAAACTTGGTGGGTCGTACGAGGGCAAGATCTTCCAGGATCGTGCTCATGTCGCTTTTGGCGGTGAAGCAACAAATGCCTCCAGACACGAGAGAGCCCGCGACAGACGACTGGCCAAGAATGTGGTTCATAGGGTAATAGCAAAGGGTGACTTCACCCCCGTTGTGCTGAGACCAGGCTAGACTCCACATCCGAAGCATGATACGCTGTGTTATCATGGCACCTTTTGGCGTGCCGGTACTTCCAGATGTGTAGACAAGGAGGTGCAGCGGATCTGTCCCCTTTTCAGGCATATCGAGTGGGGGAACCGGAGAGTCCTTCCTGCGCTGGCGGATATCGTCAAGGGAATCCAACTTGGCCGACACGCCTCTTGCCGTCAGCTTGGCTTGAGCAGCATCGAAGATGGATCGTTCAAGAGACAAATCAGCATTATAGCTGAAGACAATGATACGTTTAACCATCTTGTTATTGGCGGCCAGCTCCACAGCCTTGTCCACCTGCTCGATGCTGACGGTTATGATTAATGGCTCGAGCTCTGCTATGAGCGGATCGAGCGTCGACAGTGGAGCATCAATCTGAAGCGGTGCAATCACTGCCCCGAGCAGATGGCCAGCGAATTCAAGGACCGAGTAGTCAATGCCACAGAATCCAAGGAATGCGATAGGAACACGGGGACGGAGCGGGGCGTCCGCATCGTAGTAAAGGTCGTAGGCGACATCACGGACCTGTTGCCAGACGTCTTTGAAGCTCAACGTTCGAAAGGACGGGAACAGCTTCAGAGAAGTTTCACCCGTCTCTGGATCACCAACGACCTCGCGATCTCGCTCCGCAAGGGCAGGCGCGTCGCCGCCTCTCTGCAAGATTTGGGCGACACGGGTAGCAAGTGACTCGCGCTGGGCCGGAGGGTTCACAGGCCCAGTGTCTGGTATTCCAACTGGGGGCACAATATTGCTGGATTCAACAGCTACCGCCATGGTGTTTGTCGGTATCTTTGAACGTGGTGAGCGCTTGCTTTCTCTGCCTGCTTCGACCACGAACCATGTCCTTAGCTGCGATCCGACGACTTATGAATCGCGCCCTGAGATCCGATAACCACGGGAAGTCGAGTCCTCTACCATCCCTATCCTCGGCAGGCGCGAGTTCTTTCATGATAGCCTGGTGACCATATTTCCTATCCCCGCCTGAATGTCTCCGGACTCCCACGAGATCAACCCCGGATTCGTCTCGATGGTCCATCCCGCAAAGGGGCACCCACCAGACATAGGCGAGGTTTCTTGTGGTTCCTGACAGGTCCAAAAGCATGTAATGACCAGTAGATGAGATGCTCGGAGTCGGATGGCTCCGTATTGTGCCGTGACTCGCCAGGAGAGCGTCGAGCGATACTCTAGACGGTCTGGCGGGCTTTGTCTTCTGGCTGAGAACGGCCATGTTTGGCAAGAGATGGCGCTGGGGAGAGTTTCACCTCGAAAATGTTTGGAAGTCTAACGAAAGCTCCGATCAACTAGGTTTGGATCTGCGGCTAACTACTCGTAAAACATAGGGCGGCCCGAGTGATAACGTCCCTCGGCAGGGTGTTTTCGAGAGAGGATATCCGCTGCTTCTGACATCAGGGTGATGGTCTCGAGAAGAATTCATCACATCAAACCTCATCTTGAGGGTAGGCAATGTGGGACTGTCAGTCAAATCTTTCGGTCAAGGTACTGATTGATGGAATTTACGAGATGCGAGACATGAGGAACGAGAGGTCCTCTCCGAGTCGTTCCCCCGAGACCGTGTTCCGAGATGGCTGGAAGGAGGGCGCATGTGACACCTTCGCCAGACCTACCTATCTCAGTACTGTTAAGGCGCAGGCTGGTAGCACTGCCGCCTAACCTTCCAAAGAAGTCCCCTACTAACAACAAGGGGAGGTACTTCTGAACCTGCATGTTTCGTTGTAGAGAAGAGAAACAGGCGTGATGGGTCACGACATTCGATTCGATAAAGTTGATCAGTGGAGTTCAATCATTCTCTCTCATGACTAACAGGACAGCAGCAACCTCGATTCTGTTTGCAGACGATTACGCTCCGCTCATGCTTCCTCCATCACAGCTCAGCACGTGCCCAGTCACATACGAGGCACTGTCTCCGAGAAGGAAAATAACACTGTCGGCTAGTTCGTGAGGTTTGCCCATTCTACCCATTGGCGTACCCGAGCCGAGTCGCTCGGCAACATCTGGGAATTGCGCAAACGTTGCTCGTTGCATGCCGGATTCCGTGAGGCCTAGAGTTTGTGCGTCAGTAGCCTCTCTATTCCTCGGAGTCTGGTGACAGGAGTCTTACCTGGTGCCAGCGAGTTCACACGGATGCCTTCCAAGGCCCAATCGAGTGCCCAAGCCCGAGTCAACCCGATCACAGCATGCTTTGCCGCACTGTACACAGCCAAACCCTTGACAGCCCGAAGACCCGCGCCACTGGATGTGTTGACAATGGCACCACCACCTCCTTGCTTCTTGAACTGCCAGTACGCCTCAGTCCCGCAGTTCCAGACGCCCGTCACGCAGACGGCAAAGATTTTGTGGTAGAGCTCGTCGCTGACAATGCCTCCTTCAAAGGGGCAGATTCCAGCGTTTGCACACATTCCATCGAGTCGGCCAAATTTCTTCACAATCTCCTCGACCCATGCGTGAACCTGCTCTCTAGATGAAACGTCGACGTTGGTGTATATAAGACTCGGTACGTCCTTCAACTCGGCCGGCTGGGGGCTGACGTCTGCGACGGCGACCTTTGCTCTCAGGGTGATCAACTTCTGTACGATGCCGAGTCCGATGCCCGAAGCACCTCCGGTCACGGCGATAACCTTGCCTTCAAGAGAGTTGCGCTCCATTGCTGAGGGAATGCGAAAGTGCTGTTTCGATACCAGTGGGCGCAGACTGTTGACTTATGACAGGAATAAGTCTAACACGATTTTGGCGGCAAGTTCAAACAGCAATAGACAATTAGTCAATGTCAAAAGATCCACATATAACAAGGTGCTCCCTCCGGAAATGCCACATGCCACGCAAACGCCGAGTGGGCACGAGCACTCCAGTTCTGACACTACCTTCACTTCTGGCTCGTGGGGGAACTAGGGGTATAGAGCTGGATCGGAATCTTGGAGAAAAAACAAAAAACCATGTGTCTAGGTTTGTTGTTTGATCCAACTATGCTTATAGCACGGCTAGGGCATTCGGTGGACTAGCTACTCCTCCGATTACGTTTAGAGGCGCACTCGTGAAGAAAAACGACCATCGCCGCTCTTGCTGGCAGAGCACCGACAAGTCCTCCAGGTTCCAAAGCTCACCAAGGGGCATGCCAAAATGAACTAATATCCACTCATGCAGCACAACCTTGGATTCGTCACCCCACGGCACCGGGCAGACTTCAAAGCCAGGGGCGTCTGTGGCGACAGCCGCGAGGTGCTTGTTCCAAAGCCACCGCGCTGATGCCATTGACTCTTCTACCCCAATGAATGCTTCCCCCTTGATGACTCGAGTCCTCTCCTCGGCCGAGCACGATTTGTACCATTTACTGTACCCTGTGCGAAGCAAGAGAATGTCTCCCTGTCGAATTTCCACGCCAAAGTGTTTGGCCACCTGATCCAGCTCGGCCACTGTGATGGCATGGCTGGAACCTGCATTGGCCAGGCTTTGGCCAGTCTCTTGTCGCCAAAGCGGATAGTCCAAAAGGATGCCGCGACCAACTATCCCGCCTCTCTGTAGCCATTCTGGGAACTGGTCAGCGGCCTCTCTTTGGGCAATTTGGGTGGAATAGTGGATATACGGACTATGGGTCCCATTTCTACCGTCTTTCTTGCTCAACACGTCTTCAAATTTGAGGCCGTTGTAGAAGAACCCGTCTTTCTGAGTCGCACAGTGTGTCATGCCGTCCCACTGAGAGCTACTCTGCGTGTTGAAATGGAGCTCGTCGTCGTAGACGTACATGCCCGCCAGATCGTGATAGTTGACCACCCTCTGCTCGAGCTGACGGCGGGAGCCAATGCGCTCGTTGAAGTGGTCAAGGGGAAAGTCTAGGGACGCCGACTTTCCACTCTTGACCTCTGCGGCGGCACGTTGAACCACGTCTGGGGTAAGGAGATTCAAGGCTGTTGGCCGCCAGTCAGAAGCGTTCAGGAGATATCAGAGCTGGCAGAGAAATCCAGATCATATCGACCCCTGCCGAACAGAAAGATCGCTTTAGGTAACACTCACTTCCAATCTCATCGTCCGCACCCCAAAAACCCCACGTATTTCCCAGGGGTCTGCCTTCGACTGGTGGCAGGGAATCAAAATCGGGGAGTGGCTTCATCTTGTCGAGGAGCAGGAAGAGAGGGCTGCTTGTTAGGGGGCAACGGCGAGGTCTTGGGAGATAATACCCTGTGCCAAAAGATATGCTGAGAGCCGCGTTCACATGCCTACAGGACTTAACCATTAACCATACCGATACCCGTATTCACCAGTCGATGGGCTCTCAGTGTCTCGCAGACTGTTTCTCTGATGTCTTGGTCGTTGTATGTGTTGCGTGACACGAATGCGGAGTTTCCACACCTGCCACCATGTCCAATTTTCTCCATGATGGGGATGTATGAATCTCCCGGAATACGCGGACACCCTGAGGTGGCCAGTCTCCGATTTGGACTTCTATAGACCGCATTCGGAGTTTGTCCCCCTCCGGCCCACTTCGTTTTTCCTTTCCCCTTTTGACCACCACCCACACCATCCCTCATAAGGGTCGTCGTGCTGAAAAGAGTGTCTAAAACACCCAGACAGAGTGTCCCTGTCACAGCCCACTCTATTCTCAGAGGGACATAGGGGTTGAAACAGCAGGGTTTTCGTTCTTTTCCCCCTCAACGATGGGCCTTTTGGTACCAACCTGCGTTTGGGCCGTGTTCAGCGGTCTGGTATTTGCCACCCTTTCTCCTCTTGTAGGGTGTCGACAGGCTGACCCTGCTGGTAGGCCGCTCATCTGAAGTACAATCGACGAGAGCCGACGCTCTTGTGAGTTCCCAAAGTATACAAAGACGGCGTATCTGGCCAGCTGATGTCCTCTATTTAGCCAGTATCTCGCCGAGTTGGCGACATTGTCCTTGGTGGCCTTTGTTGCCTTGTTCCATCAGTCCAGGACACTCAGCACGAGTCTAGGCCTCTGGCCTGTCTTCCTTGGGGTGCATCTCTTTGCTTTAGCGTAAGTGGTGATCATCGTTCAATCGCACGACGGGAAGTATTTTGACCAACGGTGATCGTCACACAACAGGTCAAGCATCACAGTGTACCGACTATTCCTCCATCCACTCAAGGAGTATCCGGGACCGGTGCTGGCAAAGATCACCAAGTGGTACGGCTTCTACCTGACCAGCTTTGGAAAGACGTACATCGACTATGTCGAACTCCACCAAAAGTACGGCGACATTGTCCGCATCGGCCCCAACGAGCTCTCCTTTGCGAATCCAGAGTCGTTGAAATACGTCCACGGAGCGGCAGCGAATAAGCTGGGCAAAGGCCCAAATTACGATACTCGCCTGTGGGCCGACGGCGTCAGTCTCGGAGACGAGAGAGACATTGCGGCACACAGAGCTCGCCGTAAATTCTGGGACAAGGGCCTCGCGATCAAGGCCATCACTTCATACGAACCCCGGCTCGTGAGAATCATCAACGTCTTGAAGAGCAAGTTCGACACCTACGCCGGTAAGTTTCCCATCATCTGATCTTCCCGAGAAGACAGGGCGAGGCGTGGAACTGACCGAGAATTGGATATGACCAGAAAAGGAAATCGACGTGGGTGCGTTCATCGACTTCTTCGGGTTCGACGCCATGGCGGACCTGGCCTTCAACGAGACCTTCTCGTTTATCGAGAACGAGAACTCCGGAGAGCTGGCCGACCTGGTCCGGAAGGGTCTCAAGATGACGGAGCTCATCCGCAACGTCCAGTGGCTGACGCCCATCTTCAAGTACCTGCCCATGGATCCCGAGGACAAGGCCCAGACGGAGCGATTTGCCAAAACCTCGGCGGAACAGTTTGAGAAGAGGCTGGCCATGGGGACCAAGCCCACCGATCTCTTCACCTACCTGTTGGCTCATGATGAATCTGGAAGGTGAATGGATTTTGTCCCCCTTTTGTGCTGATCTCTGGGTGAGAAAGGTTCTTCTGGCTGACGGGATGGATTCTTCCATGACGACAGGACTCTGGCGAAACGAGATCTCGAGTCCGATTCACCCGTCATCATCGTCGCTGGTAGTGACACGACTGCCGTCTGTCTAAGGTTGGTGGTTTCCACACTTATTTCAAGACTGGACAGATAAACTAACGTCGACGGGGAAAAAGCTTCGTCTTCTACTTTATGTCCAGGGACCCCAACGTCCAGAAACAACTGCTCGAAGAGGTCGATAAGGCGTGGCAACAGCATGGAGAGAACC